AGCGCTGGGTGTGCCACCAGGGCAGGGGATGAGCCAGGAGGGCCTGGGAGCCTGGACCTGGCCCCACAGAGCGGTTTCGCCATCCGCTGACTGCTGCAGCCCTGGCGCCTGCCCCCACAGGCAGAGATGATGGCGTGGTGCCTGTGTCACCCCTCTGTGCCCTGACAGGCAGTGCTAGCTCTCCTCTGCCTGTGAGTCCCGGCTGCCCCAGGGATGGAGGGCAGGCCAGTTGCTGCTGACCAAAACTTGTGGTTGTGCTGCAGTCAGACCCATTTCCGTATGGAGGCAGTGGCAGTTGGGATGGCGTTACGCTTACAGCTCCTTTGGGCTCTGTCCCCAGCAGGTTTTGTTGGTGGCCACACTTGCTGTTCACCCATGTGGGGAGGGAGGGAGTCCCTCACCACCTTGTCACCCACAGCGTGACAAGGGTGGTTTTTCCAGAAAACACATTCCCGGACTTGACTGGTTTGGGAGGTGGTGAATCCCACCATGACAGCAGTGGATTCAACATCATGTCCTGTAAAAATGTGCATTTGATGTCTGTAATAATTTCCCCAATCCCACCCTCTCCTAATTCTCTTTCTGCTTTCTTTAGCCTTACAAAGGATGAGTCCAAAAGGCCAAAGTATAAAGAGCTTCTGGTGAGTGCGGAGGGTGGCTGCCCGCAATGGCCCTCATGGCTGTGCCAGTCACACGGCAGAGCTGGGTCGCGTGTCCGAGGTCGCTCCGTGTCTTCTCGGGCCATCGGGGCAGGGTGTTCACCTCCACAGCCTGAGGAAGAGCACTACCTCCGTGCCTCCATCTCTGGCCTCTGGTCATGGCGGTGGGCAAGATCGTTAGTGCCTGTACATAAATACAGGAGAGCAGCGTGGGGGGATGTGCCCTGTTGCGGTGGGTGGGTGATCCCTGAAGCGGGCAGGCTCAGGCAGAAGCACGCTGGTGTGCCGTGTAAATGCTGCCTTTGCTGGAGGTGCTGGTGCCACGCAGGAGCCCTGTGGAATGGCTGCCAGCACTGTCGTGTGTGAGTGCCTCCAGTGCACAGGGCACATGGTGACGTTGGGAGTGCTGGGGCAAAAGCCATCCCTGAAAGCACGGTTCTGGAGCAAGACACCAGCAGAGCCTGTCTGTGGTGGGGTGTCCTAAAGGAGGGAACGCAGTGAGGCTTTTGGGATGGATAAGGCACGCTTGGCAACCACGCACCTTCAAGGAGCTCTGGGCAGCTGGAAACCACCTCTTCAGGGGATGCATGAAACCACGACCTGGGTCCCTGCTGGTGGTGGTGTGATACAAAGACTATGCCTGGTGTCCTGGCCCAGGGTGTCCTCGTCTCCCCAGCTGCTCTGTGTTGGGTCCGGCCAGTATGGCCTCCTGGGCAGAGCAGAGGGTCGGGGTTCGGCAGAACTGAGCTTGGGTCCTGATCTTCTGTTTGACCTCTGCAAGCTGTGTCTCCCTGTCACTCCTGTCTCCCCGTTGCTGACAAGGCTGACAGTGAAACCTCTCTTGAAAGTATTTCAGTGTGTGTCCATGCTACGAAGGAGCCAGGTGCTGCCAATACTGCGCCCTTGCTGCTGCCAGCCCAGCAGTTCCTGACACCCCTGGAGTCCCGTCCCACCTCCGTACTGCACGTTATGGGTTCCCCATATGTAAAAGTCATGGACCAGGCTATGTCCTATTGTCCTACAGCCACCAGCAAGCCTTGTCTTCTCGCATCAGGCAAATCCATACGCTAAGCTTTTGTCTGGGGTAGCCAGCATGTGTCAGAAGGGTGAACGTAACCTTCTTGTCTCTTTGTCTGATTGCAGAAACATCCCTTCATCCTGATGTATGAGGAACGCACAGTGGATGTTGCATGCTATGTTTGTAAAATCCTGGATCAAATGCCAGCAACTCCCAGCTCTCCAATGTACGTCGATTGATATTGCTGCTACATCAAACTCTAGAAAAAGGGCTGAGAGAAAACAAGCTGTAAAGAATTTTCATCACATATTGCAGTGTTTTTAATGCTCGCCCAGACACCATGTGCAATAATATTGGTGTTATTTCCATCCTGTCTGTATACTGTTGTCACATATAAAGTGCATCCCTGTAATACCTGATCACACAGTGTTAGTGTTGGTCAAAGAGAGACCTCATCTTGCTCTTTTGTGGACATATTCATGAAATGTGGAAATAAGTACATTTATTTGTTGACCGTGATTGGATAGCACCTAAAATTCATTTCTAGACTCAAAACTTGGAGACTTCTCAGCAGCTACTGGAAAGATTTTTCTCTCAAACTCTTCCAATTGTTGTTTCAAGTAATAATAAAAAGCAAACAAACAAAAGTTAGGCGTTGTCTGTCTGAACATTAAGAGACTTTGCCTGGAGGGAGAAGAACTTGCTTAACCAACGAGATGCTTTGCCTTCTGGAGCTAGAAAGGCAAAGGAGAATTTTATTCTTCACAAAGTGCAATAGATTTACTGCTATGAAATTCTGTTGCTTTACAGTCGCAGTGTACTTTCTGGGGACAGTGTGCTCAGCTGAACTTCCTGTTAAAAAGAGATCATGTTAAATATAGTGAATATGTCTTTACCAAAAATATGTTGCGTTGAAAGAGGCTAACATTAAACTATTCAGAGATGGGACATAATGTATTCTTTCTCCTTTTACCAAGCCAGCCACTCTTCACTCTTAACTAGGTGTCCTGTAAATTGTTACCTGGTAAGATAAGACCTTTGACCTGAAGAATTATTAAACTACTCGATTGAATTTAACCTGCTTGTGACCTGATTTATAGCTGCACAGTGCTCACCACCTGCTGGCTCTGCTTTGACTTCGATGAGTGCCGTTCACAAAGTCTGCAGCTGTTTTAATGAGCGGCAAACGAATGGCTGTGACTTTTAGCCGATGTTACTCATGTTCTTCACCGTCCCCAGCCCTGTGCTAGCGCCGTGTCACTGACCCCACGACCAGCCTGGCGGTGCTGCCACCTCCCAGCCCCGTGTCCCTCGCAGGAGCAAACCTCAGCGCTTCCTTCTCGCTACGGCACGCAGGATGGTGGGGATGTCCCCCTGCCGTGCTGGGGACCTCTGCTGCCCCGCTGTCACCAATGTCACGCTCTGCTTAGCTTGCTGGAGACCTCGTTCACCACCTTCTGGGCATATTTAATCTCCTTTGAGACTCTCCGTAGTTCTTGTTACTGCACCCTGGAGCAACTCTTACTGAGACTGTTTGGTGCAGATGGAGATGAGATGGAGATGAGGGAGCTTCTGATGCCTTGTGGGCTTTTAGCTGACCCAGCAAGGCCAGGCAAGCTGTCATCTCCTGGCTCTCTGCTGAGTAAAAAAGTGCACCAGTCTATTTTTTTTTTTAAATTGGCATATTTATCAAAGATTAATTGTGCCTGAATTTTATTTTTTTTTGTCCAAAAATTGCAGCTTTCAGGCATTTAGTAGCATACCAGGGCTACAATGGAGGCTGCAGGGTCTCTGATTTCCATTTTGAATTGTCTAGTTTAGGCACTTAGTAGGACTTCGCGGCTGTTAGAGAGAGCAACCTGCCGCCAAAGCTCTGCAGCAAAACCGAACCCAGGATGCAGAGGGCTGGAGCCACAATGGGCGTCAAAACACAGCGGTACTGGCAGGATCCCCGAGGAAGGGGCTTCCCATGTCAAACCAATGCTGCTGAGCGCAAACTGGGCTGATGTGGGAGCACTGGAGACCAGCATGTCCCTGCCCTGGCTGCTCAGTGCGGGAAGGAGAGAGCCGAGGCCGTGCTCGTGTGGACGGACGCCCAGTGTTTCTCTGGCTGCTGAGGTGACACCCTCACCTAATGCTTGCAGCATTGCGCATCTGCCGCTCGGCTGTTGGAGCTGGTCCCTCTGGCGCTGAGACTGACGCCAATGGCATCCCTTGGGGCGCAGCGTGCCCGGCTGGGCAGGGGGTGCAGTCCTCCCGCCCTTCCTGGATTATCTTCTTCCAGGGCCGCTCGTCAGGGAGGCAGTCACTAAAGTCTTCCCAGAATGGAGAAGGCAGAGCTTTCTGCAGTAACTAGTCATTCCTCACAGCCCTGATGAATCATGTGGAAGGATCAGTGGAACAAGATACGTAGCATATCTAAAGAGGTAATTCTTCCCCCAGTCCTGTAGCCTCAAAAAACGCAGCTTTTGTGAACTAGTCTTGGCGAGTCCCCACAGCTGTGATTCATCTCAGCAGCCCTCAGCCACCCGTGATGGGACCTCGGGTGCACTGAGTCTCGCGGGCACTGACTGGGGGGGATGAGAGACACCCAGATCCAGGAAAGGCGGAGGCATGCAGGGGTGCTCTGCCTCCACCCCCGCCTTTCAGATGGAAAACTCTAATTCGCACCCCAGTGACGGGAAGCCCAAAAACCTTTCAGAGGGCCAACACTGAGATGGAGCCTCTCCAAAATCGGTTTCCCCCCAACACAGGCGACTGCCTTGCTCTACTCTCTTGGTACGGCCGGGGTCCATTCTCTCTGCCCTGGAGCGCATCTTCAGCAGCGCAATGGGTTTGGTTTTGGTGGATGGGAAATGGAATCGGGAAGCTTTGAGCTGCCAGCGACAAAGTCAGGGTTGAGGTGCTGTGGCAGGGGTGGCTGGACAGAAGGACGGGTGTAGCGTATTAAACATAGATTATTATAAAGGGTGCACCATTTATTATGATGTATCTTTATTAAAAAAAAGAAAAAAAAAAGGTGTATAGTGTTCAGAAGCTGTGCAAATAGTGTAAGAACTGTACATTGTGAACTCTGGTTATTTTTTTTTTTCTTGTACCATAGAAAAAATGTATAAAAATTATCAAAAAGCTGATGTGCAGGGATGTTGCCTTATTGTCTGTAAAATGGAGCTCAGGAACATAACTGCTTCAAAGAGCTTCAGAATATTTTACCCGGTATCCTGGTTTGAGTCCCTCCTCTATTTAAGATATTATAAATGGATCAGAGTGTTTATGTAATAGTTCTATCCTTTTGCCTGCAGGTCAGTTGTAATAAAACTAGGATGCGACTGTGACCTTGGTATTTTCATTTCGTAAGGTCAGACGTGAATGGGAAGATTCATTAAAAGCTGTTGAAATACCTGGCTTCCAGGCCCTTCCTCCATGTGGAAAAGCAGCCTTCAAAACGGCTTATGCGAAATTAAAAAAAAAAAAACCAACCCCAAAAAAAGCCCACCCACCAACCAAAAAGGCGTAGGGAGAGCTGGGTGTATTTTCTTTCTCTGGAAGACTGCCAAGCCCTCTGCGCTAATGGGCTGTCTCAGGTGAGCACCGTTTGCTGCACAGGGGGGTTCTGGTGGCTCAGGACACCTTGTCCCTGCCAGGAGGGCAGGTGGCTGTGCCCACACTGCAGGGAAAGGGCAGCTCATGCTCACAGCCTTTCAGGCTGCTTTATTTATATAGGGGGCTGGAGCACCACTCCTATGAAGAAGGGCTGAGAGAGTTGGGGCTGTTCAGCCTGGAGAAGAGAAGGCTCCGGGGAGACCTTATTGTGACCTTCCAGTACCTAAAGGGGCTACAGGAGAGCTGGGGAAGGACTTTTTACTGGGGCATGTAGTGATAGGATGAGGGGTAATGGCTTCAAACTTGAAGAAGGGAGATTTAGATAAGATACTAGGAAGAAATTTTTCACCATGTGAGGGTTGTGAGCCCCTGGCACAAATTGCCCAGAGAAGCTGTTGCTGCCCCATCCCTGGAGGTGTTCAAGGCCAGGTTGGATGGGGCTTGGAGCAAGCTGGGCTGGTGGGATGTGTTCCTGTCCAGGGCAGGGGGTTGGAACTGGGTGATCTTCGAGGTCTCTTCCAACCTAAACAATTCTATGATGATTTTTGTAAGAGCAGTCCATGTCTGCAAAGTCCAGATGATCTAAGGGTACCAAGTCCCGGTAATTCCTACTGCCAAACCTCCTGGTGCTGGGACAAGTGTTTCTCCTGCCTGGAAGCCACGGAGGGCTTGGAGACTGTCCAGGCAGGTGGGCAGAACTGACCTCAGTGACCCCACTGGCAAAGAAGACAATGTCAGGGAGAGGGGCTGGCCATGAGTGCCTGTAGTGCTCAAACTGGTTTGATGGGACTGGCCCAGGAGTGCCCAGTGCAGTGACAGGGAGAGCCAGAGCACTCTGGCAGGGATCATTGGTCATGCCACAGCTCAGAACCAGAAGTACGTAGGAATGGGTGGAGGAACCTGGCATTAACTCTCACAGTGTCTCTTCACGTGAAGGGAGAGAATTTTATGTGAAGGGATGGCAGATAACGGAGCTGAGGGAAGTCCTGCTGCGTAGAGATATACGGTGTGAAAGGTTAGCAATGTCCAAAGTCTGTCAGTTTGCATAAATTCAGTGTTTCCACCACATGAAGCTTTTCCTGGAACGTTCCTGTTGCCAGCAGAGTCATTGGGATACTTTGGATCACCTGCTGTCCCCACTCTTCAGCCAGAGCCCAAGATCCCTGATTTTGTGATCTGCAGGTAGAAGACAAAATCCAACCACACCCCAGGGAGAGCCCTTTCCCGCTGGGCAGAAGCTGGAGGACCCAGCTCCTCACCTTACAGCTCCTTTTTCCATGAATCAGAGCTGCTCTGGGATTCTTTTCCTTTTGTACTGCAACCTGCCTTTGTGTCCTGACATTTGCTCTGGAGGAAGCTGTCACAGCTGAAGGAGCTGAAAGAAGCTGGTGGTTGGATGCAAAGCATCCACCTGCACATACCCTGCACTGGGTGTTTCCACGCTCTGCAGGAGGCAGAGGATCCCTCTTGTCTCTTTTCCCCTGTGACCGTGTGGCATGCAGAAGGGAATGTATTTGTGTCCATTTCAGTTCCTCTCAGTTGCCTCTTGTTGAACTCATGCTTAGTTTTTCCTCCTGTGGACTCTTTTCCTTGCCCATTTGGACTTCACTGCCTTCACCGAGGACCTCCATTGTCATAGTGTCACTGCTGAGGGTGGTACAGAAAACCTCTGGCCCACATCCCAGATGCCACTAGTGTCTCAGATAGGACCCACACCTGCACAGTGCCACTGTTGCTGCTCCTCTGAACCCTTGGATAATTCAGACATTCCTTGCTTGAGTGACATATGATGGCTTTCTCCAACACTGGGGCTGGGAGTCCTCCTACGGGCATCATGACCAGGTTCAATGGCTTGACTCCAGCTTCTCCCCTGTGCCCACACTCGTGGGCTTTGAGGCTGCCCTGGGTTCTGTACTCAGCCTCAATGCTGAGGAGCAGATGTTTGAGCCAGCCTCCAGGTAGACTTTGAGCCATTGACCACTTTCTTTGTGCCCAGTGGTCCCAGCTGGCACCTCATACCAATTCCTCACACCTTTATGCGCACTAGCATGTCTGAGGTGCTTCTCAGATCTTCACCAAGCATCATACAGCATCCAGAAAAGCATACTGTGCTCTCTTATTATCATGTGTCTGTGGAACTCCAAGACCAGCTTTGAGATTTGGACGAGTTCAAACACATCCTTGCCTGGACCCAAGCAGTATGAATGCAGATGTGCACCACCACCTATTCCTGTCAGGAGCATTTTGAGTAGTCTGTATTTCCACTAATCTTCTGCTTGGCTTCCCCTAGCCTTCATCCCAGCCTCTTGTTTCCTTTGGTGGCCAGGTAAGTATAAATTAAGTGCTCAGGCCTGGGTTAATACCATAGGTGCTGCTTAGAAAAATAGCTCCATTTTCACTGTGACTCCTGGTGCAAATCACAAGCTTGATCATTGCTTTGAACATGTTAAGGGTGCAGGGACAGAGGAAGCAGC